GGTTCTATAAAGTAGATGGTAAGTACAAGCGAGCCTGTTGTCATAGTTCCCATGTGAGATACTGTAGAACTGCACTGATGTAGAACCTGATCATCCAAAGTAGAATCCAGTCCTTACCAGTAGCAGATGTTTTGGTAGAAAACAACAGAACAGCATATCAGGCAAAGGTGAGTGCGAGTGGATATCTCCCGGATCACATTTACTTTTTAATTATTATTTTGATGACATGAAGCTTTGAAATGCTGCACTATTATTAGTACCAACCCCTGCAAACACTTTGTAACTGAAGGAGGAGTGGATTCAACGTGCCCATTGTCCCGATGTGTGTCCAGCGCTAGTTCCAATTTTCATTTCATGCAGGATTTACTTTTTTTCCCCTGTATGGCACATCTTACAACAAAAGAGTCATCAAAAGAAACTCTGGAGATGACACTGGCTTGAAGTGAATCTGAAGCCTACTGTGGAGAGAGTGAAAATGAAAGCTGAAATGTGCGATTCCCTGTGAGACTCCTTTTTATTCTGCAGCATTTCCACCACAATGCTCTGGAGGAGGCCAAACAGCACTTTCTGTCAATTAAATAGCCTGTAATCCAGGACACCATGCTGCTGTCCACCTGCTTCACTTTGTGCTTCACCCAGAGGAGCTGAATGGCCCTGAAAACAGTGCAATCAAAGAATGTGCTTGCCATCTTGCAACCACCTCTCTAGGTGGGATTAAGCCCTGCGGAGCTGGTACATGATGAAATTGTCCACAATCACTACGGCCTCTGCTGAACAACAATAAAGCACATTTGAAAAGGATATAGATTTTGATTAGTAAAACCTGTCCTCACTAGTTCAGTATATTTACAGCGTATTTATTCTTTGCGTTTGCTTTTGCTGGTTCGTCCGACCTTCATTTCTGAACACACATCAGCAGAACAGCAGGATATAGCCATGAAACACATCATTTCAGCAGCTTTTCATCTGCAGAACTGTTTTATCAGAAATGATCACGAGCCAAAGTATTCATTTCCATAAATGATCTTATTTCCTGTAATCAGCATTTAGAATAAAATATTTAATACTCCTAAACTGTGACAAAAAATTGTATGAGGTATGTGAGGATGCGTGTGTGAAATGTCATGAAAAGCTTTATATGTGATTTTAAACACAACACTTCCCTTGTTTGGCATATTTCTGTATTTTCCAGTTAAAATGAGGAATATGACGTCTGTAAAGAATTGCCTTTTTCTTCACTCGCGCTTATCTTCAAGAATATTACTTCATCTTATCAAAGCCGGGCCATGCTTCGTCTGTAACACACTTATTATGCGAGCCCACCAAGGTAGAAATTCATATTCATTAATCAGAGCCTTCTGTGAGGTTCGAGAAATACACTGAAACAAACGGAGAGCGGTGGGCGTCCTGAGCTCGATAAGTCTGTGCAGCCACGTTCAAAGACTCGACGTATGCACATAAATTCTCATTACATTGTTATCGCAGCGTTGATGTCATACGCCCATAAGGATCAGTAATGGAAAACATAAACCATTTTCTTAATGTTTGTTCAAAACTAAAAGGGCTCGCTGATTTAATAAACATTTGCATTCTGCTGGCTGTATGAGCAGATAAGAAGTCATAAACTAAAGAGGCGATCGATCACGTAACTCGCTATAAGCTGATGTTCATATTGGCAGGAGGATTAAGCCTCACTGAATGTGATTAGCAGTTTTTGTATTCATTCGTTCCTTCTCTTGTTAACAGTTGCTGACCAAGATCGCATTTTGTTGTTTTGTCTTTGATATTTTTCCAGCAGCGTGTAAAACTCGCCTCGTGCGTCCAGGATCAGTATGATCAGAGGAATTTATTTATCTGTAGCAATTCTAATGTTTATGAATGTTCTCATTAAGTCTCCATCCGTGCGATGAGTGGGCAGGCACACAGATAAGGTTTTTCACACCACAGCTTCACATGTGATGTAGTGATGGTGACACGCTGTCGAATGAGATCAAGTTCATCAGGTTCGAGTGAGGTGAGAATCGTTGTGCAAAGATCCCTCTGTGTGTCTGTGAGCTTGTGCTGTATAGCATTTACTATATTACCTGCTCATCTGCTGCTGGGATGTTTGTGTGATCACTAAAAGCACCTGAACTGAACTGACACTATGCACTGTGTATCTGTATGGACTTCCTCCTGCTTTAGCTTGACAAGGTTGTTAAATAGGTTTTATCTGGTTACCTGTGAATACAAGCACAACATAAAGGCTTTCAAAAATTGAAAGCTTTGGCCTTTGAAACCAGCCAAGAGTGCGGTGCAGTGGTTAGCATGGTCGCCTACAGGAAGACGGTTCTGTGTCCAAAGCAGCTGGGAAGCTTCTGCGTGGCGTTAGCATGTACACGCCCTGTGTACGTTTAGATGCTCAGGGTTTCTCCTGAAGTCCACAGACATGCATGTTAATTATAAAACGTTGAGGCATGAATGTAGGCTCTGGGCTCTAACTGCCAGCAAAACAGCAGTCAAGGAAAAGCACACATTTTGCAGAATGTCATTTTTTTTAATGGTCATAATATTTTATATGCAAAGGTTATTGTCGTGGGACTCAAGCTCATCTATGGATTTACTGCCTCAGGATTCAGCACATTCAACCAGTCTGTGAAAGTAATATATGGTGAAGATAATGAAGGAATAGAAGCGATAGTTTAGTTTAGTTTAGTTTAGTTTAGTTTAGTAATACAAAATATGTATTTTGTGTACTTTGAAATCATCGCTTCGTGATTTTATCCTAGCAGAAAAATGTGGTCGTGATAAACAGTTTACTTCCAACAGCACAAACTTTTTTAGATGACAGACAATTTTACCAGTTTTACTGATCATTTCAAAAGAAATTCTAGTAAATTGCACAACTGGAACCTAAGATGACGCAGTTCTCTTATTACTGTGGCTGCGCTGAGCATCTTGTAAGCTAATGAAATATTTGTTTGTGATACACGGTTGGTGCACAAACAGCAGGACGTTGATGGCAGTGCCATAAGGTTCGAACCATGAAAATAACAGAAACGTTGCCAAGATATTCTTATTTTTATTTCTCTGTTTGAATGAACAAGCACTTTTTAACCCTCTGTAGAATGCTGTTGCCTTCAGGGAACACACAGCGTGTCTGCTTATTGCACTGTTCCTTAAATATTTTATTTGCCCATATATGGCTGGTAAATTGTGAATGGACTGGTTCTTTCTCTGGCCCTTTTCTACTCTACCTTAGCAATTAAAGCACTTTAACAACTTGCCTTATTCACTGGAGCAACAGCACCAACAACATGTGTAATTAAATACACACAGGGAAGATCGCTATTCAGTAAAATCCATGTTTGACCTTTGACCTAAGGGTTGGACAGTCCTTTCCAGAACCACATCTGCATGGGACACATCCATTTTCTTCACCTTATCAAGTTCAGAGTCACGGCCAACTTTATTTTTAAATCTGCTTAAGTGGAAAATCTATATTTTAAAAAATACACATGAACATGTGAAATGTATCTGAAGTGTATTTGTTTGTAAAATCATTAATTTCATTTATTTACTAAAATAACATTTTTGGTTCATTGCCTCGGGGCAACGTTTCCACTTTTGTCTACTTTTCTTAGGGCAGTAACACTAAAGCAGTGCTTCTAAATGCTGCCCCCTGCAACTACTTATTTTGGGTTTTTAGGTGCATCACACATGTAATAAATCACTTGTGAGGCTGTAATGTAAATAACTTATCTAAGAGTCTACGGTACATGACCCGGTCCATGATCCCCTCAATGCCATGAAGCTATCCTGCACCCTTTTCCTGTTTCCGCCTCCATACTCTGGAGATGGTGTCATTTGGCCATGTACAGCCTTCCTCTTCCTCCAAACATGGCAGATAGAGCTTGATTTTGTTTTCATGTGACCACAGCACTTTGTCCCAGTCATGCTTTGAATGATTAGATGCTCATTTCTAAACTTAAGACGGGCCGGTACATGTGCCTTTTAGAGCAGATGGGCCTCGGGGCTGCCATTACAGCGCAGTGTGTTATCAATGGTGTTTTTGGTGACTGCAGTCCCAGCTGCCTGCAGATCAATAGCAAGCTCCTCCATGAAGTTTTGGGCTAATCCACCACTATTCTCATGATCATCATTGCTTCATGCAGCAAGAAATGAAAGGAGCTCCAGACTGAGAGTGACTGATGGGTCATTTATATTTCTTGCAGCAAAGTAGTAAATGCACCAGTAGTTGTCACCTTGTCACCGAGCTTCTTTCCGATGGCTTTGTAGCCCATTCCAGCCTTGTGCAAGTCTGACCTCCTTTGACAGCTCTTTGGTGTTGCCCATGGTGGCTGAAATGAAGGTTGGAATGGAAGATACTGATTCTGAGCACAGTATTACAGTATTTCACCCATGCAAATAAATGTATAACTGTCATGTAATTTTTTTCTGGATTTTTGATATTCTGTCTCTCTCCATTAAAATAAAAACTACCATAATTAAAATAAATAAATAAATATTCATAATAAATACGGACATTTAATACCACACAAGGGTCGTCAATATCAACGGCTTAAAGAACTGAAGTGTGTATGTTCATATTTGTGAGCCTGGTTCTGCTGGAGGTTTCTTCCTGTTAAAAGGGAGTTTTTCTTTCCAGCTGTCGCCAAAGTGCTGCTCATAGGGGGTCGTATGATTGTTGGGTGTTTCTCTGTATCTATTATTGTAGGTCTACCTTACAATATAAAGCACATTGTGGCGACTGTTGTTGTGATTTGGCGCTGTGTAAATACAACTGAACTGAAATCAAAGCAAATATAAGTGGGCAATCTGCTGCGATCGCCTCCACGTTTCATATTAAACTTCACGTTTACAGCGTAGTGTTCTCGTTCGCCTCCTTGCCTGTGTTACATGAATGCAGCGAGTCCGGGAAACAAGTTTGACACTCGGCCCGGTGACCGAGGTTTGGGGCGTTGACTAAACTTTACTCAGACCAATCAGAGTGTCGGAATTCACGGTGAAACTTTGTAAACAACTTCTACACGCTGGTTTAAAGCTCGTCCGCCGTATTTACTACGAAACAGCGCGGTGGTGCTGCAGCCGAGAGACGCAAACGACTCAAAACAGGTGAGACGCAGTTATGTGTGTTACACGCTCGCCGTTTTTGTCTCCATTCTGTGTTTGTGTCTCGCGCACCGTGCGCGCGCCCCCGCTGTTTGTATGCGTGCTGTCGTTACTCATAGTAGAGTGGGTGCAAAAACAGCTGTCATTTCACGCGACAAGTGGAGGAGAAATGCGCGCTGGGCGTTTGGAGACAGTCCAGAAAGACCAAATGTAACCGTTTTATGTGGACGCGTCGCCAGAGGTTGCCTCAATGTATCGAATGACGTCGCCACTATATGGTGAATTCCAGTCCTGAGTAGGAAACAGCTTGTAGCTGCTGCACGTCTGCATTGGATCGTTTCGGTGTAGTTTGAGCAAAGTGTGTCTGTTGCATCACCTAAAAGCATGATTAGCAAGACTTTTCATCAGTCGGTGGGATTTGAATTCAATTTTAGAGATTTCCTTAAAGAAGAGTGGGCCACTCTTGCTTCCCCTCTTCCTGTCGACATGTATGTGTGTGAGGCAGCGAGAGAGCGCTTGGTCCTGGCCGTTTAAATTGAACAATCCTTGATTTCTCGGAGTAATTTCAACGAGCAGGCTAATGATGGAGCACACTTCTGTAAAAATCACTCAGCATTTGCCCGCCGCCTGAGTGAGACAGACCTGTTATTAGGCTGCTTCACAGCCTGTGAATGCGTCAGGTTGCTATAAGAGCAGGTATCAGGAGCTGCTTACTCAAATGTTTCAGAGGAAATTTGACTCTGCAGGACACGAGAAAGGAGTCACGCTGAGAAATGTTGAAAAAGCTCCTTATAATGTATGAAAAGCCATAAATCAGAGTCACGAGTCAAGTTACACCTGTTTCTCTAATTTCATTTAAATATGCGACTTTCTGCGTGTGTTTCACACTAAAATTTACGGACTCCAAGTTTAAACTCCGTTCTTGATCTGCGAGCTCCAGTGGCGAGAAGGAGTACTGCCTGCTGTGTTACTGTTAAGTGTGAACAGCCTGCTGTAGACTGCGGGAGACTCGGTTCAGAGCGGATGTGGGCACAGCTTTCGTTGTGGAACATCAACATCTGCATGCTCTGTGTTCCCTCAGCACGCCCACTGCAGCGAAGGAGGAGCCGAGACAGAAGGGGGAGGGAAAAGTTTCCTGTCAGAATGGCTGAGAAAGTGAATCAGGTTAAGTTCTGGCAGGCAGTCAGACCTGGGGGGGGGGGGCTTCAATTTTTGACTTTTTCCGCTGTAACTTCTCTGGAAATGTGACGCATTTCATTTTGTGGTCTGTGAAGTTGATTTCTTGATGGTATCATGCTCATTCTTAGTACATTTCTGTTTTGAAGAAGTTCATCTCAGCTGTCTCCTAACAGCGTCCAAAGCTTAACAGTTGCTGCAGTTACTTGTCTGCATGCGTCCTTTGCCTCTTTTTACGGGCAGTTTTTGGTTTGCTGATGTTGTTTTGGATAGAAAGCGACACCACGGTAGACAGGGTCAAATATAAACCCGAAGAGTAAACTTGTGGGTATATTTTACTTGGAATTATTGAGTTGCTTACACTAAACTGGCAAAGTTACATGTTTAACAGAAACAGAACAGAGAGACGTGTTTTTCACAAGTCTTTTCCATATAATGAAGACTGTCCAAATATGCAGTTTCCCAACGTTAATTTGGAAAATTTCCAAATGCTGCCACCAGTTTCCAAAGATTATGTAATTGTGAAATTGTGCAACTAATAAAGGCATTATTTTACTCTTTAAAGTTACACAAGAAAATCAGCCCACATGTGTTAGTTTGATTGTTGTCGTCTGGCTGCCTCAGTTCACACAAGCTGTGTGTCAGCTACCTGTTACCACTGAAACTGATTCGGTAGATCTCAGGGAAATTCTGTGAAATTACCCATCATCTTATCTGGCCCTCAAACAGAATCAAATAATTAAAGTTGAGAAATGATCCCCGCAGTTTCACAATTGCATCGCTTTGTTTCTAACGTTTTTAGAGCGAGCAGGCCGTGTCATCACGTAAAAACTCCACCTATGTCCCAGTTTGTTCTGTTTTGCACGTGACGTATCAGCTGCCGGTAAGTGTGTGGGTTTTATAACAGCTGGACTCACAAGGCGCACTGTGGTTTTGTTGCATTTGCATGTCAGTTAAAAACAGAAATACTCTGAGGAAATACGAGTTTGTTTGTTTTTTACGTTTGATAGCATTCACCGCAACATTTGATTTATAATAAAAGCTTTATCGCTGTTGGAGTGCCCTTTAAAACTATTGTTGCTCATGACCTCAAGCAGCGATCAGACTGTTGAAGGGGAAATGAGAATTGTTTGTTTTCAGGTTGGGCTGTTAACCGCCCTGACAGTACATGAAGCACGCTGACGTCATCGTTTCCCATCGCAGCACCTAAACACAAACAAATGTCAGCTGTGACTTACAGACCGCAGTGTTTTGGTGGTTAGATTGCTTTGAATACACAATGTGCCGACCCCCGACGTAGGTTAGACGAAGATAACGATCGTACGTGTTGACTCGGTGCCGATGTTACATATAGAGAAGAAAAATGAGGCAACACAAACACAAAGGGTAAAAGGATAATAGAGAACCATATAATAACATTCTGCATTATGTATCAGTTATTTTTGGCTAGTTAACGAGTGAGTGTGAGCGACGAAGAAGCTGCTTCCTGCAAAATACTGTTGTGGTGATACGCATCAGTAATGAAGTTGTTGACGTCATTTTGGAGTTTCATCTTGAGTAAAAAGTTGCTCTTCTGGGAAGTCACTGTCATGGTTCTTGTAATATCACAGATGATGTCGATATCAGCTGCTTTGGTAAAGCGGCTGATCTCCTGTGTGTATTTCTCAGAAAACAGTACTTTGCCAAACTAAACGGCTTGATGGTGTTTCGTGATGCTGCTCGATGTCGGCCTGTGAGAAACAAAGATGAGTAGTAACGACGAGTCGGTGTGAGAAGAAGTTTCTTTAAGCGAAGACTGCTGGCATGTTTTCAGTGGAGCAGGAGGAGGAAGAGGAGGCAGAGCGCGGTTGGATTGTGTCTTCCGATGTGTCTACTACACAACTGGACTGGGATCTCTGAGATTTAACATCTGCTCTGCAGGAAAGAACATCTCGCTGATGCTGATTATTCCAGCTCACATCCTGTAGGGATGCAGTTACATGAGTTACACTTTAAAGTAGGGCTGGGCGATATATCGAGTTTTT